TTATATTTTAAAAAAATTAGAAAGAAAATTCTGGCATTCTATCCTACTGTATATAATTCTATTTTGTGAATCTTGAGAATATTGTAAACCTTCACGTATGGAATCTTTACATAATTGTCTGCAGGGTTACATTTCATTGGGACTGAAAGGGTGAGATTGCTTTTCATGTTTGAAAAGATAACTGAGATGTGTTCACAGTAAGCTGAAGATAACCTGCATTTTCTTTTAGAAAAGAATAGGTTCCCAATACTATTGGAAATATTAAATGTTGATAGTTTATGGGCTCCACTAACCAGGACTCACTCAACCAGCTTCGGGGTGTAAAAATAGGACAGAGACCTACAGGAAAATAGTCCTAAAATGAATAATCATTGACAATGTCTATGGTTAGCCCCACAATTTCTGGCTAGAGATGGTGCAATGAATCTAGAAATCTACATACGATGCATGGCCTTGGAAAACCATTATTCAAAGTATATGATGGACATTGAATAATAATCTACTGCCATTTATTATCTTATAGCCAAAACACTTAAATCATCCACTTGTTTGCTGTACAAAACAGTATTTGAATATAGTCGTTTCTACCAGAGAACACTTATTCATAAGTAGAGCTGATAATAACTAATATTATTTCAGAGAACTTCAGAGTATTTTGGTAAATGCTATCAAGTCAAGGCAAAATTAAACAACATTGCAAAATGCCTTTTTATTCACTTGGATACGTTTTAAACTCCAGCTCAGTTACAGGACAGGGTGTTGCACAGAAAACAGAATGTTAGAGCATTACATACATGAAGATTCCAGGATAAAACTTGATTTCTTTTATAAAATATTAAACATACTTATCAAAACCTCTTACCTTCACATGTACGAATAAAGCTGCAAATAATCTCCATAGTGCTTTAATTTATAATTTGAAATGCATCCAGAAATAATTTAAAACCAACAACCCAAGTACTTTTGTTTCTAATTAACTCTCACCTGACTAATAGGTTCACTTAATAATCTTAAGACAAATACAACTGGAATGGAAGCATTTCAATATTCCAAAAAGATATATCTGAGCTCTCTGTAGATCTACCAGTGATACATTGACTCAGATGAGATCAGAAGAGAACACATTCTCTATTGAAAAGTTTTCACAGAATGCACACAGGAAAATACCCTGGGACAGAACTGATCTCACACGCATTTCCCAACTACAGAAGATTTATGGATCTAAGCACCTCATTTTCTAACTGAGACCATGACATTCAAATTATTTACTATATCTTTTGTTACAAACTTTGTGCATTTTTATATACACTGATTATTAATTCTAATATATATATATCACCCTTTTACAGAGCGACATGGTACCAGAAACGTACCAGAAACGTACCAGAAATGTAACATACATAGAAGTGTCAGGAAAAAAAAAACAACAGAAAAGCTATACACATTTTAAGACTCTAAAATAAGAAATAAATATTACCCATGATTCTGACACAAAAAGGGTTGATAAGGGGACAGAGGAGAGGCCCAGTTTTCCTTAGTTTATTTTGGCCCCTTGAATGCAGACACAGGTGATGCGCCCACACAGTTCTAGGACAGGCTGTGCAGATGGCTGCCTAGCAGTCATATATATTTCACACAAAATCATTATTATATGAACAGCATATACTTTTTCAAGGAAATATATTACAGACACAATTTAGTAAGAATCATGTGCATAATATTTTGTCCATAAAACACATAAAAATAAAATATTTCATAGGATTATGCTAAAGGAGCCTTTTACCTCCTAGTTTTTCTTCAGTGGAATGCACTAAATGACTTTTTTTTTGGTAATCTTTAAATTAAAAATGCTTTACAATAGCATTTTATGCAGTGTTTCAAAAACGTTTTTAGGAAACATACAGAACTAAAAATAAGCTTCTGAGATTCTTAAGCAGGTTAAGTAGAGAATTTATTAAAGAGAATAAAGAAGATAATTTAAATCTATTAATTGGATTCTATACTTTTATAACCAGGCATGTCTATGATCATCTCATTACTATTCTTGCATGTGTTATATTTCACAGATGTAGTTTTATATGTTTGATTGCATGCACTTTATGGAAAACTGGGTGGCTTGGGAATTTCCTTGGTAACTTCACAAGAACACAACAAAATTTTAAAAATGGTATTATAAGTAGATTTTTAAAAAAATTGTGATTAAAGTGTTACTTGTAAAAGTGGTAAATAATTCATAAGAGAGTAGACTACTAAAAACCATAGCAACAAATAAGCATTCGGCCCACTTTCTATTTTTTTTTTTTTAGGAAAAGATTTTTCTCACTCAGAAAAGTGAAACATGTGGGGAACCTTGTACTTGTTTCTATCAACAAGCCTAACCATAGCAGCCGTGTCAAGCCAATGTCAACAGAGCCAGTGCCTTCAAAGGACAAAGGTATCTGATTAAGTAAGGCATGGAAAACAGACCGCTCTCCCCACTGACTTGCTCTCTGCTGAGATCCTGGTTCCCACCTTTTAGAAATAGTTCCATTATTACAAGGACACTTCGCTGATAAAACCCAGAGGTGGAAAAACTTGATGACAAATAAAAATTGTACAGGTAGAGACAAAAACCCGTGCTCCATCTCTCTGGGGAAAGCTCTAAAATGAATAATGAACCAGAGGTCGGTTGCACCATTGCTCCAGCACTACGCTGGGCAGTAATAAGCATAAGCATCTCCCTGTGCTCCCTAAGTGTGTCTGTCTGTGTCGGTCAAGTTGCTGAGCAAAAAACAGAGACAGCCAGCTTCTTCTGAAACAATTCCCACGTTTTCTCCCCACCGTCAGAAAACACATTGAAACTCAGCCCAGTACACACACACGCACACACACACACACACACACACACACACAGGCACACACACACACACACACTGTAATGGACACTGCTTAAATTTCTGACGGCAGAAATTCCCGCGGCTCTTGGCACTTACCTTGCAAGGATGTGTTAGGTAAACTCGCTTCATTCTCTCCCATTTTTTATCTCTCTTTAAAGGGGGCCGAACAGTTCCAAGTTGTGTAAGTTACCCTGCGAGCGCCGTGACCTTCTGACTTTCTGCTGTAGTAGTGTAACAGTACACTACCTGCTTTCTTCTGTGAATAATTACCATTCTGCTTCCTGAGTTACCTGGGCTTGCAGGACCTGTTTTACTATGAAGTGAGATCACATCCTTTGATCCAATGTGCTGCTATTATAATGTGAGCTTCACAAAACGTGGCTTTGTTTCCGTTTTAATATTAACTTTTAATTCCTTACTTTCACTTTAGTCCCGAAACCGATTTTCATTTTCCTCCTGAAAGCGTGTGGATACTATCAACACACCATGGTGCGGGGCCAGAGTTTCGTTTGTTTTTTAATTTCTGATCCGTTGCTCTTACAGAAATCAAATAAAATGTAACATGAATTTTGCAATGTCCATTTTTAAAAATACAGAGAGATAGGAAGAGCCTGGAATGAATGTCGTGCTGTGATAGAAGACAGGCCACTACCGTTGTGCAGCTAGTTGAGGAATGCAACGTCTTTGAGACTGGACTTCCTCAACTATAAGATATAGATAATATCTATTTCAGAGGATTATCACAAAATTTGAGAGAATAACGGATGACTGCTAAACATTGTCCATGGCAGCTCATAAGCAAACAAGCAACATTTTCTCCTCCTCCTCTTCGTCTCTCCTTCTCTTCTTCCTATTCTTCTTCTATCACCTTCTTTCTTGTTTCCTTTCTCTTGTCCTTCTCCCCTTTCTGGCCAGTAGAAATAAGGCTGACATAGAGCACTGGTGTCTGATGTCGCTATGTTCTGACATTAGTTGTGTTACTTATTAACGGAGAGTCTTAATGAAATGACTTGGTGTGTCACAAGTCCTCATTTATCAATGGTTACCAATATTTGCATTGCTTTTTTCATAGGCACATAGTGAGCATGACTCAAACTATTGTGCCTCAAAAAAAATAATAATCTCTAGCAAAAATTAGGGACAAATTAGAGATTTATCTTTACTCATTTGTAAGTGAGAGAGAAAGTAGACCACAAAAATTAGGCAATATATTTAAGCTCTATCTCCCATTAGACATCTAAAATTTTTTTTTAAAAAAAAACCTCTACTTTCTCCCTCTAGAATTCCTTAACTGTTAGTTTTGGTCAGA